TATTTTCCACCATACGCGTCGCACCGCCTTATAAGTCGCATCAGTCCAAATATGTCTAATAAAGTGGAAAAATCCATGAATATATCGTTTTGCCACACAAGTTGTCTCTATTATGCATCACTGCTGACAACCTGGAAGTGTGAGCCGGTGATGTGCCAGAAATTGATTGGCTGCGGAAGCGTGCACAGGAGGACGTTAACAAGAATTTTACAAGATGAACATTAAAAAAACGATTATTTGTTTGATCCAAGTTATTGTAAATGTGTGTCTCAATGGAACTTTTGCTTAATAAATGCACTTCAGTGGTCAAATGGGCTGCATTTCTAAAGCCGATACGCAGAATGATAGGAGCGTGTAGAAGGACGAGTCCCTGCGCATTTCTTCGAAATTTAACAAGATAAACACCAAAAAACAATTATTTGTTTGCTCCACTTTATAGTAAAGGTGTGTCTCGGTTGAACTTTTACTTAATAAATTCATTTCAGTGGTCAAATCAGCTGCATTTCTCCGGGGCGGTGCAGTGAATTGAAGCTGATTTGACGTTTGCTGCAGGTGAGCTGGATGAAGGTTTCAGTGTATGGCAAGCTGAGTGTGTCATTAATAGCCTGTTTTACCTATTACATGATACAATGGCATGCCATACAGCTTGAGTGCCATCTAGCAGCTGAAAATGATAGTGTTCAATATTTTCAGTCAGAATGAAAACGGTCATATCTCTGCCAAAAGTTGGTTTATAAATATGGGAAACATCCATAAATACGTTGCTTCGGTGTGTAAGTCACAGGGCGTGTGAATTATGAAAAAACTGTGACTTATAGGCTGAAAAAATATTTCTCACAGATCTGGGACAGTCTTATTCTGTTTGTGGTGCAGCAGAAGGTGGAGGTGGTTGAATTATTAGCCATGCGAACAAAGATTTTCCAGGTTCACATTGTAGGTGCAGGCCATTCTGTCCCTTCTGGTAAATTTAGTTTTACCAAGTTATAAAGTAATATTTACATGTGTGTTGTAAGCCAAACAACTAGTCTCACTTTATTTGCAAATACCGAACACTAAAAAAAAACAATGGTTATAAAGCCGTCATTTGATAAAGTGTGTAAAAATGTTTTGTTTTTATAAAATCTAAATGCTGTCAGCTAACGTGTAGCTAACGGGTGCAAACAGACGAAGATGTTTTGCGATCGGTCTGCGTTGGCGTTCACAGGGCCTCGCTCGTTTTCTATTTGGTGGCTCGTAAAATCTGTTCAGTTGTAGTCCAGCACACAATGTGAACTCTTACTGCTAATCATCTGAACGGGTCCAGTAAATCATGCACAGTGAGAGGTTTCTCAAGTTCAGGTGTGTTTATTGTCGTTCGTATCACATGTGGTGCATGAGGTGGAACGAAATGATGCACTCAAGGTCCCAGTTACACCCCAAACCAGCAAAAATATAAAGTATAAAAAGAAACGGTGTGTTCATTCAACATTTATTTCTACAGGTTAATCCCACTGAGCCTCAGGGACTCATTTACAAGAGACACTTGATTTTAACAAAGAGTGATGACAACAGTGGACAATCAAAGGATGCGTACAAATTAAGATATATATATATTTTTATATAAGATTTAAGGATCTAAGATATATGCTAAACACTAATAATGCAAAATAACACGGTATATTAAACAGCAGCCTGAACATGAGTCTGCAGTGAGCAGATGAGGATGAAAGAATACAGCAGCATGAGATCAGCAGCATGAGATCAGCAGCATGGATAAGACACTGCAGGTGAGCTACACCTGCAGTGTCTTATGCAGACAGGCGTGACCAGATGAATGTAATTTATTTGCACAATGAATCTGAAACTTCGGCTTCAGTGGCTCAGGACAGGCTGAAATACTTTTAGCTTGTTGAACAAAAGCCTCAGGTATTTAAGTTCCTGCTTCTTCGTCCAAACGCACTTTCAACTGGAGGAATCTGTGAGACGATATGGTCGATCACCTGGCTGCTGTCTGTTGGAGACGCGTCGAGTCACTGCAGTTCAGCAGTTTTAGATGACGTGCGTGTCCTGTCATATGTGTTGCACAGAGAGCAGCTAACAGCTGGCTGCTCTGGATAGAGTTGGTTTGTCCTGCTCCCTGCAGAACTGATGGGTTAATGCTCCTTCGCTCAGTCTGCTCCACTTGTCCTGTCGTCACTTCGTTACGTCAGATTGGAGAGTAATTTTAAACTGTGCTTATTATTCAGCCGTTAACCTTCTCAAAGGCTGAACTGGTGAAGAGGACTACTGGTCCTTTTACAGAAAACTCCACTCCTCGACTGTTCATGAGAACGGCTTCCCTCTCTCTCACCCTCCCACCAGATGGTCTCACCCTCCTCCCACTCTGATCATTTTACATTTGCCTCTCCTTGGCTGGGTTGTTTTGCTCCTCTCCGACAGCTTTTGGTCGTATGATCAGCTGCAGGCTGACTGCAGGGCAGAGCCAGATCTGATTGTGTAACGCTCCAAAGCTGCACTCCTTAAACCACCTCTGGTGTTATTCAGTGAAACAAACACAAAATGTGCAGAAACAGCTGTGTTTATGTGTAAAATAAAAGGCTTATTAATAAGCTTGGATGAGCTAAGTGAAGATCTCTCTTGGACGTCCTTTTTTTGTCCTAATCAAGATGTTGCACAAATCTCCTTATCCAGATGTGATGGACTCAAACTAACAACGTTCGCGTCTCGTTTCCAGACAACCTGTCGGTTTCCAGTGATGGGGATCTCCCTCAGTTCCCTTCTGTGATGTTGACAGGTTTCCATGGAAATCTGATCATCATGTGCACGCTAAGCTGAGCCACGTCACCGCACTGTTGATGTTCACGCTTATTCACCAGCCTGCTGAGTCAGCACGGCCTGAGCTAAAAACAAGCTTAGCATGTAGCAAATATATTTTACTGATCGTTGCTGCTACATAAAGGAGAAGTCCGATGATGTGAGCTCGACCAGTCTGGAAGCTATCGAAGCCATCGTGCACGTCTCCAGTCGTGCACGTCTCCAGCCGTGCCTTTGCAGCGCTGCTGTTTGGAAAGTTGAAAGCTTTATGTTGCAGAGGCGTCAAATAAACCATGCATTTAGAAAATGACATTCAAACTTGCTTGATCTATTGTTTTACTGGTTTTGGCTGTAGCACGCAGGACGCCATTTTGTTAATAAAGGTGGTTTTAGTTTGGTGCGTGTGCAGTGTTGAGCTGCAGGCCTGGGCTGGGAGGTGAAGCTGCAGCAGCTCAGATAACAATAAAAGGACAGGAGCAGGTTTGTAGCTGCACAATGTGACATAAAGAACAAAGTGAAGCAAGCTGCTGCCTTCAGGCCGCAGGGTGGTCACTGCACCGGGTGTTCAAGTCCGTCTCTCGTTTTACTGGAAAGATTTTATCGCACTTCAAGTAATGTGGCAAGTTGTTTCCATCGAATGCCACCTGACCTAATGTTGACTTCACGTGCCGTTCTGCTGTGCACTGGGAGCAGCCTGGAGATATTTATGGGTCATAAATGCAAACGAAAGTGGAAAATTCCACCGAGATGAAAAAAACAAGTGCATACAGATCAGATAACTGACATCCTGACATCTTCGAATCACTAAAACAGGTGTTCACATTCAAACCCGTGTCCCACGCTCAGTTTCGTCATGTTTCTTAATAAACTAGATTTTCTGCGAGTTTAAATTTGACCTATATTTAATTTAGGAATTAAATCTCAGTCCCAGGTTCTCGTAGATGAGAGGTCACTCCCATCTTTTTATTTTCCATGTATAAAAGTCAAGTTTGTGTTTTTTCACTTCTTCATTGAAAACATGACTTATCAAGAAAATATTCAGCATATTAAAAATGAAAATAATAATTTTATGAATCAACGCGCTAGGTCTTTAAGAGTACTTTAACAGTGGTGCCCAACCCTGGTCCCTGAGGAACACCACCCTGCATGTTTTAGTTGTTCTGCTCCAACACACCTGGTTTAAATGAAAGGGTGATTAACAGGCTTCTGCCAAACTTAAGAAAGTAATTAAACCACTGAATCATGTGCTGGAGCAGGGCAGCAAAACATGAAGGTTGGAGTTCCTCAAGGACCAGGGTTTGGAACCACAATTTTTGCCTGAAATTATAAAAACAATGTAAACTAGCTGTGCCAGAATTACCCTAATTTAATCAATTGTCTTCTCAAAATAAATGGGAATGAAAACCATTTTTATTTTTTTGTGTGAGTGTGTGTGTGAAAATCTTGGAAAAAACTTGCTGTCCAGCCTAAATGAAAGTGAGACGTTGACCTTTTTCTATAAGGTGAAACGTTAAGCAGTTCTGAGGACAACTTTTCTATTTTAGCTGCAAGGAAGTGAGACTTGAACTGTGCACTGCTCACGTACTCGCAGTTACAACACGCATTACACTTAATTTGCAGAAGCTTCCTTTTCTACTGCACATCTTTCAGGTTTGTAACAGTTTCCCTTTTCTTCTTCACAGGTTGAGCTTTGTAACGGACCAGTTTGAAGAAACGCCTGTTTTGCTGTCGCACACATCTGCAAAGCACTTCCTCTTCTCGTGGGAAACGGTTCCTGTCAGAAAAGCGTCACAGCGGATTACTTGCAGATTTCTAAAATCTGAGTAAAGAAGAATTTACTGACCATGGTTTGACCAAGGAGCTGTCTGATCCTGTCGCATCAGTCCTATCGGAGCCTGGATTCATGGACGAGGAAGCATTGTGGGCTTCTAGTTGATTTTTCTAAACTCATGACCTCAGATTGTGGTTTTGTTTGATTTTGGCTATGCCTGCCACTTCTAATGGAACATACTTATTTTCTGGAAAATATCAACTGACTGAAAATATTTTTGTGTGCTTTTTTCATCTTTTTATTTTTTTCAAAATGGAGCTCATAACGTAAACTCCATAAAGTCGGAGCGCTGGGAGATCAGATCAAACGTCGAGGATCTTGATCTGCATGACTCTGCCCGTCACTTAAACCCAAATCTCGGAGCGTCTCTTCCAGCATGCATTGCAGCCTGAGGAGGAAACGTCCTACGTGTGACTCTGACTTCTCTGCCATCGTCGTTCCCTCCATGCGTGGGTCTGGATACCTCGACTACACGGTTGAGAACCATGCGTCCAGATCCTTTTTGGTCATGGATGAGTTCAGACGACACGAGGTGTTGTGTGACCTGATTCTGCGGGTCACGTTCAAGGAGATGGCCATTAACTTCAAGGTGATCAGAGTGAAGTCAGAATGCAAGCTGACCCGAGCTTCTCTTCTCTACACAAACAGCTGGTGATCAAACCTGAAGTGCTTGTAAAGCCATGTTTCATTAGACATACAGAGCCATTTATGAGGTCGGGGGGACAAACACTGACGGCAAGCTAGCCTGGAGTATTTAAGTTGAAAATATGTAAATCGAATTTAGCTGAATCCCGACCGGGGGCCATTCTGGATGGAGTTAGCTTCTTCGATCTGAGCATGTGTGTGTTTCCTCCCACAGACCAAAAACATGCACGTTAGGCTGATTGGTACCTTTAAATTGTCCCTAGGTGTGAGTGAGAGAGTGAATGGTTGTTTGTCTCGTTTGTCTCTATGTGTCCCTGTGATGGACTGGAGACCTGTCCAGGGTGTACCCCACCTCTCACACAGTTATACTGCTGGATATGGGAACCAGTGACCCAAAAAGAAAGAAGCAGGTAAAAGATAATGGATGGATATTTGCAGCTGGGCCAAAAAACTTCTATTATACATTTCCAGCTGTCAATCATGAGACTTGACCCCACCTTCAGATTAGATCAGTGCAGCCTCAACCACTGAAAAACAGAATTCAGATTTTTTTTTTTTTTTTTGGAACCTGCAGTTCTTTGGCAAGGTTATGAATAATCACTGAATATTCTCTGTTACAGATAGCTTTCAGAATAACAGGTCCGTGGTTCCCAGCCCTAGTCCTTGAGGAACACCATCCTGCATGTTTCAGTTGTTTCCTGCTCCAACACGCCTGATTCAGTGGATTAATTACTTCCTCAAGTTCTGCAGAAGTCTGCTAATCACCCATTCATTCAAATCAGATGTGTCAAAGCAGGGAAATAACTAAAGCATGCAGGATGGTGTTCCGCAAGGACCAGTGTTCGGAACCACTGATCTAGGTTTAGGGAAATGGAGTTTATTTACATTAGAATTGACGAGCTAATAGCTAATCAAAGCAAAGTTAATGGCTGACATCTTAAAACCACTCCTCTCAGAAATTTCTAAGTGGTTCATGTTCATTTTAATATAATTTTATAGACCTTTACTTCTCTGTCAGTTTTGAAAAAAACATTTTTTATCAAAATATATGATGTTCCTTCAGGAAGTGCTCCTGGCTGCGAGCTACAGCTGCTCTGCCTCTGTTGGAGCTCGCAAATATCCACCAAATTTGACACAAACGCTGGATAATGCAAATTTGATGGATGTGAAATTGGAACATAGTGTTCACATGAAATGTTATGAATATTTTTAGATTGGAGTGGTTTAAATATTTCAGCAATCCACTTGTTTTGGTTACACTCAAATTAGCCATTAGCTCCTCAGTCCAGTCAGAAATAAACTATTTTTTTCAACAGCACGTGACATAATTATATATTTTTTTAACATTTTTAACTCCACTTCAGACAAACTCAGAATCAGAATAAGCTTTATTATCATTGCACCGAAGTACAGCGAGATTATATTCCGTACAGTCGTCCAAAAGATGGACTGAGTGCACGTGGCTGCAGCTCCTAGGAGAACAGCCCCTTATTCTTTAGATAGAAATGGGGAAAGACCATGAGGATAGGATCGTGGTATTACAACAAAGATCTCTTCACACCTTGTCCTTGTCAGGATGCGATTTAAGACATCAAAAAACTCTACCAGCAAGAACATTTATAGACACATTACATCTGCACTTGATTACAAGATGGTGAGATTTGTCCATGAAGCACTTCCAGATAGCACCATAGTCCTGATAAGATGTTAATGTCAGTCGGTACAGCTCTGATAAGCGTTCACAGAAGTTCGGGGGGGTGCGTGGAGAACAGATAGAGCAGAGCCTTCTTAGTTTACATACATCTCTGGAGAAATTTGATAAGTTGGCCTACTTCAAGGCCAAATGGGGAGATGAGATTCAGATAAGCCATAGTTGTTTTTTGTTCAGGCTGACTGTTTTTCTCATCAGCCTTGAGTTCTACTGGTACTATCAATATCCAAAATGGCCAGATTTGTGGACATTCCACTGGTCCGTGCTTATTAGCTTTCTCCAAGTTCAACCCCAACATGCTGGCGAGTTCCAGAAGCCGCAAGTGGCTTACGATTCTCATAAATCGCTTCCATCTTACGGTTGAGCTCATAAATCAGCTGAGTCTGAGAACTCGAAGCACAAACCAAACCTTCACATAAAGTCAGCAGCTTTACCATGGCCGAAACTGCTGCCACCGTCTTCCTTAATAGCCGATAACATACAGTAGGTGTCCGACGGTGCCAAAAAGCAGAAACCCTGCTATCATAAATCCAATGATCTTCGGCGTCCTCCTGAGACAGCACAGAAAGGCACAACATATCCATGATGTACCCTGCCACGTGCCTCTCAGCCGGACATGAGGGTTCTCCAGGACCCTGTCGCTTGGTTGAAAAACAAAAATGATCAATTGCGTTGAAAGTCCAGCTGACCACATCCATGACAGTAATTTATGATCGGAAGATGTGTAAATAGAAGCTCCGATACACAGGACAGAGAGCAACGATGCAGGAGAGGGAAGAAAAAGCATCCGTCGTGGTCGAGAGCGAGTGAGGAAAAAAAAACGGAGCTATTTACAGTCACATGTCTGTTTAATTAGTTATGTATTTTTTATTACATTTGATGCAATTTGTTATAGTACAAATATCTAGTATAAATACCCTAGCTATGACAAATTAAAATTCAAAATATTTGTAGCAGCTCCATGGAATGCTTTTTTGGGAAATTTGAGAATTATCCTCAATCTGTTCCAGTACTTATCTTGCAAAACACCCCGTTTCAAAACGTTGGAGTATTTGATTGCTGCAGAAGTGATAACATCTAAAAATACACCAATTGTTTGAACAGTTTTAGACTTGGAGGTTTGAGTAGTTTTAAATGGTGGGAAATTGCTCTCGAGTCGGTCCTTTTCTGAGCAGCTCGTCAGAATTTCTCCCAAAGTCACCAAACTAAAATAACTGCTGTGTACTGCAGGTGAGATACTGACTGTTCTCAACTACTGCATACAACCCCTCTTTTAAAAGACTACAATGTGAAGATAATTGGAAGACAGAGACAAATTCTAATTTTATCAGCCAGCTGTCGTTAGTAATGATGACTTGCAGGCCTTGATGCTTCAGCAGCTGTCAGAAGTCGAGCTGAATATAATCCATGCTGTTTAATGACTTTTTCTATCTGTTTAAAACATTGAAAAAGCACATAAACACATTTTGTGAAGCTTGTTGGAGAGGATAACCATAGTCTGAGCTCAAATTTGCTGTATTTTGTTGCAGATTTGGATCATTCTTATTAGAATTAACTTGGTTTATTAATTTATTTAAGCCCATTGAACTACTTTGGATATGTATTTAACATCTTCAAAATGCTGCCTAATGAAAGATAAATTGTCTAACTGTGTTTTGTTCCGCACAAAACTGGAAAAATCATGAGAAAATTCAATAAAGACAAAGAAATATGAAGTTTAACTTTAGTTTTTCTCTGTACTACAGTTTTGATGTATCTGCTCATCATTTATAACTTGTTGTCAGTCGCACACCTCCACAGCAGAGTCTGCGTGTCAGTCTTTGACCTTGTGCACAGTTTTTCATTCTTGTTAAACACGTCTTCAGGTGCACAAAGTGGTCCTGGCCTCTTGCAGTGCGTACTTCAGAGCCATGTTCACGCGGGGCTTCAAAGAGTGCAGCGCCTCCGAGGTCACTCTGCGCGATGTGTGCCCCGAGGTGATGGGAAGACTGATCGACTTCGCCTACACGTCCCGCATCACCATGGGAGAGAAGTGTGTGCTACATCTTCTTCTTGCTGCTATGAGGTGAGCGTACTGAAGCAGTGGAGCGGTGTGTTGAAGACTGATTGAAAACAGGTGAAAGTTTGTGTTCAGAGACGTGCTTTCTCCTGACGTTCTGTCTTCTGTGAAGGTTTCAGATGGAGGACGCGGCCAAAGCGTGTTGCGATTTCCTCACCAAACACCTGGAGCCGGCGAACGTCATCGGCATCTCCCGCTTTGCAGAAGAGATCGGCTGCACGGAGCTGCATCAGACGTGCAGAACGTACATCAGTTCACACTTCAGTGAGGTAAGGTGCATAAATGTATGTCATTATTTAAAAATATGCAATGTGTCGCTGCCTCGGGTGTGTAGCTCTCATGTCAGGTCATAAGATTTAAAACTCTACAGAGGAGTGTTTTCTAAAGCCTGGCTAATGATGTCATTATGTAACCTTTGTATCTTAATTATTTAACGCTGAATAATTCTTATCACATGCACTCCATTTATGCTCTGATAATTTGGAGAACGTTGCAGACTCATTAAAATCATGACAACAGTTTTGATAGCCGATATAATGTCTGAAAAATTTGTAGCTTTGTCCACCCCCAAGAATCTTAAGAAAACAGTGAATGGGGCGGGGCTTGTTTATTTAGCGCAGCTGTTAGCAACCATGAAGCTAAGCTAATCACATCCACGCTATACGTAGTCCCACACTAGGAAGTAGTATGGTCATAGAAACAGTCTTTCTAACGTGTGTTCACATTTTCTATCCTCCACTATTCACCATAAAGTTATCAAGTGTGTTACAAAAATATAAATTAAACAAAGAAACGCCCTTCTCTGTTTATTGTTTAAACTGACAGTCACGTACGGCGAAGGCCTAATTAATATTGACCTCAGCAGAGTTTATTTTTCTTTGTAGAGAAGTAAAGATTTCAGACAAACAATGCATTTCATTGAGGACAACAAAGACAACGTTACTAACACTGATGTGTATTTTACCGCTACTTTAGATTTATTGTGCTGGCTAAAGTTTTACAAGGCAATAGCTTATGCTAGGTTATCTTGACGTTAGCTTGCTAACTTGAGAGGGATGTAGTTAATGACAAGTGGGTTGAAGGATTGAAGATAATTTCTTATTGTTTTGTTTTACAGAACAATTAAAATAAACTTACCATGCTCTGTTCAAAAAAGTATGCTACACAGTATTGTTCTCTGCTTCAACTGCCCTGAAAGTGAAACCTAAGTGAATGGTCATGGCTTGAAAGTAGTCTTCATGCTCCCTCTGCTGGATACATTGCACAATCAGAGCGGGTTTCCAGCATTTTAGGGCTGAAAATTAGAAATGTTTATATTGGTGCATAATGGGACAATTATCACCAATATGATAGGTCCCCAAAGGCCTATATTAGCCAAAATTATCGGCCCTACCAATATATCGGTCGGGCTCTAATCTGCATGCTGCACTGTTTTTACCTTCTAACCACTTTATGTTTTCAGCTTGAGATAGTGAAGTAAACTGAATCTGAATTGTCTGCTGCTGTTTCTTCCTCTAGGTGACCAAAGTGGAGGAGTTCTTCAGCTTGTCTCACTGCCAGCTGCTGGAGCTCATCAGTCAGGACAGTCTCAAGGTGCTCTGTGAGTCTGAGGTACGTGAAATCATTTTGAAATAATCTGATTCTAAAAAGAAAAAAGACACCTAATATCATTCCTTGAATAAATGCCTAACTCTGCATGTCTTAAACAAAGTCTCAGGTGATCTTTTAGTGCTCAGCGTATGTGTTGGGAGGACTCTCGGCTAATACCGTACCAAATTTTAGCTCAGTATCTGTAAAATTGACAAAGTAAAAGCCATTTGGGGTTTTCTAGTTATCATGGCCATCCTGAATTTAATTACCATTGAAAGTTACTAGCTTAAGATGTAATTCAGTGATTATCTTCTGAGAGTTTTAATCAAATCTGTCCAGATATTTTGCATACAAACAAACAAACACAGAGACGGACACTCACAGGCTCGATGAGATGTTTTTAATGGTGGCGGGCAATAATAACTGTCTGGATTCCATTTTCCATTGTGAGAGTCTCATAAAGCCATATAGAAATTAAATTATTTAGTTATTTTCACTAATGACGGTCAGTTAGATCATAAAATAAACTTAATTTCTTGCTCCATCCTCTTTCCATGATATAGTGGTTATCAAAGTGTTCACGCCACATTTTAAAGGAGGAATGTTTCAAGATGTCCCCTCGCCTCAACCCGACTAAAGCAAAATGAGTCAAATTTAACTGTAATTTGTGTCAATTAAAAAAAAATTACCTGTTTTTATGATGCTCTATTGGACTCAGTTTTTTTTTTTTTTTAAGAATTCAAACAGAACTTCCACTCTGCAAGAACAATAAAAACAGACCACTGGTTATTAAAGAATGTAAAGAAATCAAACTAAATGTGCATTCACGTGTGAAACTTTAAACTTTGTCGATCTGTGCACAGACACCCAACAAAAATAAATTTATAAAGCCTTTGTATGATCATTAGTCTGTAATGAGTCTATTATTAAAATAACTGTTTCAGTTCAGTTTGTGGGACAAGAATCCGCTCGTCTTGAGTCTGTAGAACGTCCAGTCTTCTTCATTTATTGTTGGTTTAAATGTCGATGTCCCACGCACATGTGTCCAGATCGACCATCATCATTCCGCCCGTTGGACGCCTCGTTCAAACTTTTCCTCCTGTAAAGAAAACGAAACTCGTCCGTCACCAGTTCTATCCATGTCACAGTGTGAGAACTAATGGACCAATCTGTTATTTGACAGACGCTGTAGGTTTTATTATTATTTTGAACCTGAATAGATGTTGAAATCTTGTCCTCATCAGGTGTATAAGGCCTGCACGGACTGGGTCAGCTGGGACTTGGAGAGCAGGTCCCAGTACCTTCATGCTCTCCTGAACGCTGTTCACATTTACGCTTTGCCTCCGAAGTTTCTGAAGAACCAGCTTCTGTCCTGCCCCATCCTCAGCAAGGTGACCCTCAGTCTGAGCATTTGTATTAAATCAGTCTTCTCAGTTCATTCATCACTAATGAAGTGTTGGATGTTTGACTTGTTGTCTTTTTGTTTACCTCCAGGCCAATTCCTGTAAGGACTTCCTGTCAAAAATCTTTCAGGAGATGACACTGATGAAGCTTCCTCCTCCACCAAACCGTGGAAGCCAGCTCATCTATGTGGCCGGCGGGTACGTGCCCCCTCTGTTCTCAACATTTATCCTGACGTCTTGTGTCGACAGTAGCAAACACTTGGAGAACCACAGGTCCATGTTTCCTGACGTCACGTCATGTGTAAGACTGGTTCAGCCTGCCACCAAGTGGCTCAGAGCAGATCACAAACTTCACTCAGTTCATGCCTCGGTGGTGTTTTAAGAGTTTAACCTACCAATAGTTTTATCCATGGGTCTAATTAGATACCATACCATTTTATTTATAGAGCACTTAAAACGGCGACAAGGCCAACCAAAGTGCTGTACAGACAGAACAACAGGTAACACACAAAGCAAAATACAAAATGAAGTAAATCAGAATAAAGACAAAAACCGATGCAGATAATGACGACAAACCAGTGTGGAGCGTACAGGTTCAAAACACAGATCATCTGGTGTTGAAAGCTACTGAATAGTAGTGGGTTTTTAAACGGGACTTGAAAACCGAGAGGGAGGGGGCCTGTCTGACAAGCAGAGGTAACTCGTTCCAAAGTCTTGGTCCTGCTACAGAGAAGGCCCTGTCACCTCTGCACTTAAGACGAGATCCTGGAACTGTGAGGAGCAACTGGTCCGCTGACCTCAGGGAACGTGGTGGGACATACGGTTGTAGGAGATTGGAGAGATGGGGGGGCGACACTGTTCAGTGATTTGTAGACATACATGAGTATTTTGAACTGGATTCGAAAGTGAACCAGTAACCAGTGCAGTGAGGCCAAAACTGGTGTAATGTGCTCTCTTTTGCCTGTACTGGTTAAAAATTGGGCTGCTGCATTCTGGACCAGTTGTAGTCGTGCAATGGAGGTCTGACTGATACCAAACAGGAGCGAATTGCAGTAATCAAGCCTAGATGTAATGAATGCAGGTATTACTGTCTCTAGGTTATTTTTGGACAATATAGGCTTCAGTTTAGACAGCCGCCTCAGTTGGAAGAAACATGATTTAACAATCATGTTTACATGATTGTTAAGTTTCAGGGAAAGGTCCATTATCACTCCGAGATTAGTGACTCTTTGTTTTTCTGACAGGGTTAGAGCGGAAAGGTCGATGCAGTGGTTTGTGATCGTGTCATTGGGAGGGAACAACATGACTTCAGACTTCTTTTCATTGAAACTTAAGAAATTTAAAGTCATCCAGTCCCTGATGTCAGCCAGGCAGTCGAGCAGAGGTTGAATAGAGCATGTACCATTGTGTCTTAGGGGGGAGTAAATTTGACAGTCATCGGCATAGAAGTGGAAGGGCATGTTGTGTTTCCAGAAAATAGCACCAAGCGGCAGCAGGTATAAAGAAAATAGGAGGGGACCCAGGATGGACCCCTGCAGAACCCCCCATTTAAGCTCTGCCTCTGCGGAACTAAAATCATTGATGGAGACACAAAAGGATCTGTCAGTGAGGTAAGATCTGAACCAATTGAGGGCTGACCCTGTGACGGCCACCCACTGCTCCAACCTAGTAATGAGGATCTCATGGTCGATGGTGTCAAAGGCGGCTGTGAGGTCCAACAGGACAAGCAGCACAGAATCACCAGTATCTGTGGATCTGAAGATGTCGTTAAAGACCTTCAGCAGGGCAGTTTCAGTGCTGTGGAGAGGTTTAAAGACTGTTCAAAATGACTGAACTTTGTTGGATTATTACCTGGATTACTGAGCATGAACTTTGATGTTCTGAACAACTTTGGCTATGACTGCCTCAGAGTCGATGGGGGAGAGGGCGGCCCCCAGAAACCATCTTATCACCAGCAAACTGGTTGGTCCACTATGGGAGTGTGCTGCTTCTGGGACTCGGTTTTGTTGTAGCTCCTCGGACTGATGAAGTCCTTTGGATGAAGGACGAAACATCTCAACAAAAAAAGAAACCGTCTAGAGGAGCTGACTGAACATTGCTGGACTGAAGTGAAAAGGCTTTGCTCAGTCTGCACAGAGGGGCAGCATTATTTCACAGAAGACCATTTTGACTCTGACATCTTTAAACTCAGAGACAACAGATCATCTGCAGCAATACATGCCAAAAAATAAGCTTCTTTTCATATTTCAGTGTGAAGCTTTTTATTTCTGGCACCATTTTCTATAATTGTCAGCAAAAGCTTTGACCTGAAATAAATGTATTCCTCTATTTTAGCCCACGTTGCTCCGTTTGGTTAAAAAGGCACGGGTCTCGTTTTATTTCCATCATGAGTCCTTCGTTTTTTTCATTTATTTCAAATTGTATTTTTGTACAAGGATGTTGAGGCCAGATTGAGTTGCCCATATGTGCTATCTAAATCGCTAACTTGTAACTTTTTTATTATTATTATTGTTCAGATACAGGCAGCTGTCTCTGTCCACAATGGAGGCGTTCGATCCCAGGAGCAAAGTGTGGATAAAAATGGCCAACATGGAAACTCCCTGCAGCGGTCTGGGGGCCTGCACACTCTTCGGACTCATCTATACTGTAGGCTTCATGAGTTTAAACCTAACAATCCACATATTCAATAAATGATGAACTGTAAACTCATTGTTTGAGGGTTTACAGCTCGTTCTGAGTCGGCTGATTTAAGAATTTTACAATTGTTTCTTTTTTCTTTCTCTTTAAATTCAGGTGGGAGGAAGAAACCTGTCGATTCAGAGCAACATCGACTCCAGCGCTCTGTGCTGCTACAACCCCATGTCCAACCAGTGGAGTCAGCGAGCTTCTCTCAACATCCCCAGAAACCGCGTGGGGGTGGGCGTGGTGGACGGATGCATCTACGCCGTCGGGGGCTCCCAGGGATCCGTACATCACGACACGGTGGAGAAGTGAGACATGAAAGCATCCACTACATTTTTAAACTCTTACAAAGTACTGCAGGAATGTTTTAAATGCATTTCTCTAAGTGTAGTGGAGCACATTTGTTTTTTTGCGCACCTCAGGGTGTTTGTGCATGATAACACCAAAACATTTTATAAAACCCGTCCATCAGGAAGTCTGTTACTAATAATCAAATCAGACATGTGCTCTTTCAAAACATGTTGGGACAAACTTCCCAGGAATGTCAGTCTTGTTGCCACGAGGAGTTTTATTGCTGATGTAAATCGTTCTAGTTCAGCTGCTGAAGAAAGATCCAGATCTCTAAAAGTGACAGTTTTGTTATGCTATTAGCTTTTTGTTACAAATCATTACATCTAAATAAATTTGCTACATATTTGTCCTTAAATGTTCACATATTTTGTAGTGAGAGGTTTATGGAAACCTAAGGAGATAATAATTAGGCAACTCATCAAATATCCTCAGTTTGGAGACATCACGTTGAACTCTGGACTGACAAGCTAATGGCTAGTCAGAGCTAGTTAGTGCAGAGGACGAGGGATGGAGAACGACCTGAAGAAGTGGCTGCAGATTACATCTACTAGCATATTTAGCTACATCTACTAGCATATTTAGCTACATCTACTAGCATATTTAGCTACATCTGCTAGCATATTTAACTACATCTGCTAGCATATTTAACTACATCTGCTAGCATATTTAACTACATCTACTAGCACATTTAGCTACATCTACTAGCATATTTAGCTACATCTACTAGCATATTTAGCTACATCTGCTAGCATATTTAGCTACATCTACTAGCATATTTAACTACATCTACTAGCACATTTAGCTACATCTACTAGCATATTTAGCTACATCTACTAGCCTATTTAGCTACATCTACTAGCACATTTAGCCACATCTACTAGCACATTTAGCTACATCTACTAGCACATTTAGCTACATCTACTAGCACATTTAGCTGCATCTACTAGCACATTTAGCCACATCTACTAGCACATTTAGCTACATCTACTAGCACATTTAGCTACATCTACTAGCATATTTAGCTCCATCTACTAGCATATTTAGCTACATCTACTAGCACATTTAGCTACATCAACTAACACATTTAGCCACCTCTACTAGCACATTTAGCTACATCTACTAGCACATTTAGCTACATCAACTAACACATTTAGCCACATCTACTAGCACATTTAGCTACATCTACTAGCACATTTAGCTACAAATACTAGCACATTTAGCTGCATCTACTAGCACATTTAGCTACATCTATTGGCATATTCAGCTACATCTACTAGCACATTTAGCTACAAATACTAGCACATTTATCTGCATCTACTAGCATATTTAGCTATATCTGCTAGCATATTTAGCTACATCTACTAGCATATTTAACTACATCTACTAGCACATTTAGCTGCATCTACTAGCACATTTAGCCACATCTACTAGCATATTATTTACATCTACTAGCATATTTAGCTACATCTACTAGCACATTTA